CCTCCCAATAAAGGTAAATTGGTAGAGAACACAAAACACTGTTTTTATTTATTTCTTAAAAATGCAAATCCTTGTTTTCACTGAAATTCTCTGTCTTCCATACCAAGTATTTCTTGGAGTGTGTCTTATATAGGTTATTTGCCAAAAAGTTGAACCCAGCAGGCCACTGCCAACGCATCAGAAATGTCAATAGCATTTGCTGACCCCTTAGGCTCTGTGATTTGCACAAAAAATGCTCAAATTTCTCACTCCACATTTTGCTAGTTGAGGAACTAAAAAAAACATGCAACTGTATATGTCTCTCTTTCTAGAGCCCTTTGTGGAAACAAGCCCTCCATCCGTCTCTCAGAAGAACTTTGTGGCCTAAGAAGAGCCACCATCTTGTTACCAACATTTTCTGCTTTGCTACCTGAGTGTTCTTGAATAAAACCTCCCTCTTCCTTTGGCCACAAATAAGAGCCACGTAGGAATTAACTCAGGGAAACTGAGCTCTCAAGATGCCCCACGTGCAGCAATGTCTGAACATTAGCAGTTCATCTGTTTTGGCTTTAAGCTTGAGCCCCCTCATTCTCTCACACTCAGTATCCAATTTCTCAGCAAACTCTGTCAACGCAAACTCAGGATATATCCAGAATTTTTTCATCACCCTGGCCCCAATCAGCATCTTCTTCCCCCAGGATAGCTGCAGTCGCTCCCTAACTGGTTGTGGGCAGGAATTGCTGGTGCTCATCTATAGGCACACTCTTCCCTTCTTTGGCATGTCACTTGCCTATATTTCCAAGGCCTGTGGCGTCTCCATGGAGCTGTGTGACTGGTTCGCATTGGAATGAAGGGGGATGATGCTTGGCTCCTCAGGTGCAGTGTGTGCCTCTTCTCACTCTTCCTCTTTTCACATTATCCAGGTGAACAGAGAGAGGAACCCAGGAGACTTGGGGAAGAGCGAAGTCACAAGATGGAAAAGGCCTGGTGCCCTGAATTACTACATGGATCAGAGTCATCACATCGACCTGTACTGGACTTCATGTGAGTAGGAAATAATCTCCTTGTACAGATAGCTGCATGGCTCGGTGCCTCACCCTCTCAGCAACATCTTTCCTGGTTATACCATTTCATAATTAACTCTTATCCTTCATCTCTGCTCCATTTTCTTCAGAGCATTAATTATCATCTAATACGCATTGACTTAATTTATTTTCTGTCAGAAAAAAACCCTACTCTTATTCTGAACAATATTTATCTATCTATTTATTTATAAAGTAGGGAATGGGACTGTTGTAATGGATCATATCTCCTTTATTTTTTATTAGCTTTAATAAGCTCAGGAGTATTTGTGTAAGGTCTAATTAAGGAACTCTTCCTGATTCTGTCTGATATGAAACATGAAGACCTGATTTGGTTTTTATTACCTTCTACTCTGATTTGTTTGAAAATAAAATTTAAATTATTATTTTATATCTTTTTTTGTTCCAAATATTTTTTGAAGTAAGGCAAGTTATAAAGAAGAATTTATCTTCATACTTCCTAATGTGAGCAAACTTTGTACACATAGGTGTCATTAAAAAGAAGTTTAATAAATATGCTTTTTAAAACCCAACTTTCTATTTATGTTGGGAAATTTACATTTTTTATTGTAAAAAACATCTTTTCAAATGAGTACATGCCCATTTATGTTGGCATTTTTCAGTTTAGTTTGAATATATTTTGAACATATGTCAGGACAGGGGATTGAAAAAATTAAAGAGCAGAGCAAATCCACTCTAAAAGGAAGTCATAGTTCCAGTCTGGATGGTGCATCTTGCCTCTCTTTTGCCCTGACCCGTCGCACTCTTGTGACTCTCACCTTGGTCCAACAAGACCTCACAATTTGAGTGAGAACTTCAGTTTCCATCTCTGCTTCTTCAGCAACTGAATGACGAAGGGAACTCATTCCTCCTCTTCACACTTTAAAACAAGAAGGGCTGGGTTAGCTCAGTGGGTCTCAAGGCTGGATTCAGTTTAAGTGACCTGAAGAGCTCTTAAAAAATACCAATTCCCCGGGCCCTAGTCCTAGAAATTCTTGTTCATTATATTCGAACAAAATGTTTGATTATTAAAAACTATTTTTTATGGCAATAAGTATTTGGGCATGAGACCCAATCCTCTCCTTTTTACAAGTACTGACTGATACATTTTAAAAAATATCACATTTTCCCCATATGATTCTCTTGTGCAGCCAGAGTCGAGACCATTGTCTCACTGAGGTCTCTCCCAGCATTGACATTCCATGACTGGGAGGATAATTTAGGTCTTTCTGACTCTACAGAATGTAACATCAGAAGCTCTTGGAATTCTGTTGATAACCTCTTGGAGGCTATGTTACATGCTGCCGCTAGATGGCGGAGGCTATTCTTGGGATGAAGGAGAGTCTGGTTATTTGGGACTTTTGCTTTCCCTGAGCAATATCCTTGAGACATCTAGCTTAGGAAGCTTTGTGGGGACATGATGCTTAAGTTCTTTTCCCTGAGCTAGAGGCGCAGAAGGTGCAGCTGTTTTGCTTGACAAGCTGATAGAGAGAGACTCATTAAATAAACGTGCTATCGTCTGCAGGGAGAGAGAGAAAGTGAACCCTTGCATAAATATTAGCTCGCCTTTTTCTTATTATTTCCAGCAGGTGTGTGTTCCTTCCCTCTTCTCTGTATTTCCTCTCTCTCTTCCTCTGTTGGTGGCCTCTCTTTTCCTTTCTTCCCTTTTCTTGGTTTCTGCCTCTAATCACAATTTATTATATGGTCATAATAACGAATAATAGATTAAATTTTACTTTGCTACCTTAGTGGTTGATAAAAATTTTAGAAATCTAAAAATTACTCAGATGCAGCATTCTCAGAAGGGTGAACATATTGAGGTTACAATCGTGAATTCTTATTCAAGGGACTTCTTCTGCAACAGCTGTGGCAGCACCAGCCAAATCCAGTAAGAAAAAAAGAATTTTATGCCCTATCTGTCAAAATCCTCTCCTATTTACAGGACAATTCCGGCGATGGCCAAAGCTCTGGGTGTACATATAAGTCAGGGCTTTGCACAATGGTCGGGTGTGCTTCTCTGCTGCTTTTCATAGGAAGATCTCGAGATACTGTGGCTGCTTTATTCTAAATAGCTGCCC